AAGTAGAGACACTACATACTGATATACACCTGAACATCAGCAGGAGAGGACTCTTTAAAGTAGAGACACTACATACTGATATACACCTGAACATCAGCAGGAGAGGACTCTTTAAAGTAGAGACACTACATACTGATATACACCTGAACATCAGCAGGAGAGGACTCTTTAAAGTAGAGACACTACATACTGATATACACCTGAACATCAGCAGGAGAGGACTCTTTAAAGTAGAGACACTACATACTGATATACACCTGAACATCAGCAGGAGAGGACTCTTTAAAGTAGAGACACTACATACTGATATACACCTGAACATCAGCAGGAGAGGACTCTTTAAAGTAGAGACACTACATACTGATATACACCTGAACATCAGCAGGAGAGGACTCTTTAAAGTAGAGACACTACATACTGATATACACCTGAACATCAGCAGGAGAGGACTCTTTAAAGTAGAGACACTACATACTGATATACACCTGAACATCAGCAGGAGAGGACTCTTTAAAGTAGAGACACTACATACTGATATACACCTGAACATCAGCAGGAGAGGACTCTTTAAAGTAGAGACACTACATACTGATATACACCTGAACATCAGCAGGAGAGGACTCTTTAAAGTAGAGACACTACATACTGATATACACCTGAACATCAGCAGGAGAGGACTCTTTAAAGTAGAGACACTACATACTGATATACACCTGAACATCAGCAGGAGAGGACTCTTTAAAGTAGAGACACTACATACTGATATACACCTGAACATCAGCAGGAGAGGACTCTTTAAAGTAGAGACACTACATACTGATATACACCTGAACATCAGCAGGAGAGGACTCTTTAAAGTAGAGACACTACATACTGATATACACCTGAACATCAGCAGGAGAGGACTCTTTAAAGTAGAGACACTACATACTGATATACACCTGAACATCAGCAGGAGAGGACTCTTTAAAGTAGAGACACTACATACTGATATACACCTGAACATCAGCAGGAGAGGACTCTTTAAAGTAGAGACACTACATACTGATATACACCTGAACATCAGCAGGAGAGGACTCTTTAAAGTAGAGACACTACATACTGATATACACCTGAACATCAGCAGGAGAGGACTCTTTAAAGTAGAGACACTACATACTGATATACACCTGAACATCAGCAGGAGAGGACTCTTTAAAGTAGAGACACTACATACTGATATACACCTGAACATCAGCAGGAGAGGACTCTTTAAAGTAGAGACACTACATACTGATATACACCTGAACATCAGCAGGAGAGGACTCTTTAAAGTAGAGACACTACATACTGATATACACCTGAACATCAGCAGGAGAGGACTCTTTAAAGTAGAGACACTACATACTGATATACACCTGAACATCAGCAGGAGAGGACTCTTTAAAGTAGAGACACTACATACTGATATACACCTGAACATCAGCAGGAGAGGAACTCTTTAAAGTAGAGACACTACATACTGATATACACCTGAACATCAGCAGGAGAGGACTCTTTAAAGTAGAGACACTACATACTGATATACACCTGAACATCAGCAGGAGAGGACTCTTTAAAGTAGAGACACTACATACTGATATACACCTGAACATCAGCAGGAGAGGACTCTTTAAAGTAGAGACACTACATACTGATATACACCTGAACATCAGCAGGAGAGGACTCTTTAAAGTAGAGACACTACATACTGATATACACCTGAACATCAGCAGGAGAGGACTCTTTAAAGTAGAGACACTACATACTGATATACACCTGAACATCAGCAGGAGAGGACTCTTTAAAGTAGAGACACTACATACTGATATACACCTGAACATCAGCAGGAGAGGACTCTTTAAAGTAGAGACACTACATACTGATATACACCTGAACATCAGCAGGAGAGGACTCTTTAAAGTAGAGACACTACATACTGATATACACCTGAACATCAGCAGGAGAGGACTCTTTAAAGTAGAGACACTACATACTGATATACACCTGAACATCAGCAGGAGAGGACTCTTTAAAGTAGAGACACTACATACTGATATACACCTGAACATCAGCAGGAGAGGACTCTTTAAAGTAGAGACACTACATACTGATATACACCTGAACATCAGCAGGAGAGGACTCTTTAAAGTAGAGACACTACATACTGATATACACCTGAACATCAGCAGGAGAGGACTCTTTAAAGTAGAGACACTACATACTGATATACACCTGAACATCAGCAGGAGAGGACTCTTTAAAGTAGAGACACTACATACTGATATACACCTGAACATCAGCAGGAGAGGACTCTTTAAAGTAGAGACACTACATACTGATATACACCTGAACATCAGCAGGAGAGGACTCTTTAAAGTAGAGACACTACATACTGATATACACCTGAACATCAGCAGGAGAGGACTCTTTAAAGTAGAGACACTACATACTGATATACACCTGAACATCAGCAGGAGAGGACTCTTTAAAGTAGAGACACTACATACTGATATACACCTGAACATCAGCAGGAGAGGACTCTTTAAAGTAGAGACACTACATACTGATATACACCTGAACATCAGCAGGAGAGGACTCTTTAAAGTAGAGACACTACATACTGATATACACCTGAACATCAGCAGGAGAGGACTCTTTAAAGTAGAGACACTACATACTGATATACACCTGAACATCAGCAGGAGAGGACTCTTTAAAGTAGAGACACTACATACTGATATACACCTGAACATCAGCAGGAGAGGACTCTTTAAAGTAGAGACACTACATACTGATATACACCTGAACATCAGCAGGAGAGGACTCTTTAAAGTAGAGACACTACATACTGATATACACCTGAACATCAGCAGGAGAGGACTCTTTAAAGTAGAGACACTACATACTGATATACACCTGAACATCAGCAGGAGAGGACTCTTTAAAGTAGAGACACTACATACTGATATACACCTGAACATCAGCAGGAGAGGACTCTTTAAAGTAGAGACACTACATACTGATATACACCTGAACATCAGCAGGAGAGGACTCTTTAAAGTAGAGACACTACATACTGATATACACCTGAACATCAGCAGGAGAGGACTCTTTAAAGTAGAGACACTACATACTGATATACACCTGAACATCAGCAGGAGAGGACTCTTTAAAGTAGAGACACTACATACTGATATACACCTGAACATCAGCAGGAGAGGACTCTTTAAAGTAGAGACACTACATACTGATATACACCTGAACATCAGCAGGAGAGGACTCTTTAAAGTAGAGACACTACATACTGATATACACCTGAACATCAGCAGGAGAGGACTCTTTAAAGTAGAGACACTACATACTGATATACACCTGAACATCAGCAGGAGAGGACTCTTTAAAGTAGAGACACTACATACTGATATACACCTGAACATCAGCAGGAGAGGACTCTTTAAAGTAGAGACACTACATACTGATATACACCTGAACATCAGCAGGAGAGGACTCTTTAAAGTAGAGACAACTACATACTGATATACACCTGAACATCAGCAGGAGAGGACTCTTTAAAGTAGAGACACTACATACTGACATACACCTGAACATCAGCAGGAGAGGACTCTTTAAAGTAGAGACACTACATACTGATCATACACCTGAACATCAGCAGGAGAGGACTCTTTAAAGTAGAGACACTACATACTGATATACACCTGAACATCAGCAGGAGAGGACTCTTTAAAGTAGAGACACTACATACTGATATACACCTGAACATCAGCAGGAGAGGACTCTTTAAAGTAGAGACACTACATACTGATATACACCTGAACATCAGCAGGAGAGGACTCTTTAAAGTAGAGACACTACATACTGATATACACCTGAACATCAGCAGGAGAGGACTCTTTAAAGTAGAGACACTACATACTGATATACACCTGAACATCAGCAGGAGAGGACTCTTTAAAGTAGAGACACTACATACTGATATACACCTGAACATCAGCAGGAGAGGACTCTTTAAAGTAGAGACACTACATACTGATATACACCTGAACATCAGCAGGAGAGGACTCTTTAAAGTAGAGACACTACATACTGATATACACCTGAACATCAGCAGGAGAGGACTCTTTAAAGTAGAGACACTACATACTGATATACACCTGAACATCAGCAGGAGAGGACTCTTTAAAGTAGAGACACTACATACTGACATACACCTGAACATCAGCAGGAGAGGACTCTTTAAAGTAGAGACACTACATACTGATATACACCTGAACATCAGCAGGAGAGGACTCTTTAAAGTAGAGACACTACATACTGATATACACCTGAACATCAGCAGGAGAGGACTCTTTAAAGTAGAGACACTACATACTGATATACACCTGAACATCAGCAGGAGAGGACTCTTTAAAGTAGAGACACTACATACTGATATACACCTGAACATCAGCAGGAGAGGACTCTTTAAAGTAGAGACACTACATACTGATATACACCTGAACATCAGCAGGAGAGGACTCTTTAAAGTAGAGACACTACATACTGATATACACCTGAACATCAGCAGGAGAGGACTCTTTAAAGTAGAGACATTAAATACTAACATGAACCTGAAAATCTGCATAATATGCCCTTTTAAAGGCAAACAATGACCACTTAAAGTTACTTCTAATTACAATATATTACATTCTAAAAAAGATTATAATGTATTGCGACTGTATGAATCATAATACACTATGACATTTGCAGTAAAAAGTTAGTGAGTCAATATCAAATACTTTATCATTTGCAGATTATTGTTATAAAGCATAATTTAAAAGTTCTTTCAACAATAATAACAGCGCTATAACAACAAATAAGTATGTTTATAATGCATTATAGACCAGGGCATCTTAGTAAATGTTCATATATTTGAGCTTTAAGTGCATTATTTTCTTGATCCTTTATTTTCTTTTAAACAGGAAACACCTAAAGAGTTCAGTGACCGGCTGTCCTATAGAGAGCCCAAAGTAGATCCCTCCTCCACCTACAGAGTGACGATGAGGACAAGGAAGGGCAACCAATGTGTGGAATTTTCTCAATGGAGTGAATGGAGCCATGCTGTCAGTGAGTGGGGCTTTTTACATCTTTAAATCATCCCCATCCATCTACACACAAGTTTAATTGGTGTCATCTGTATGTGTGTATGTGTGTATGTGTGTATGTGTGTATGTGTGCTTGTGTGCTTGTAGCTGTGGAACAGTCCAAACTCAACAATCTAGTGATCGTCTCAATTTCACTTGGAATACCCATGATCCTCCTGGCTGTGCTGCTGCTGCTGCGCCATCAGAGGTACTGTTTCTGTCTCCCGCTGAATAACTAAAGCATGATGATTGGTGTGTGAGACGCACACACTCACATCTGAACATCCTCAGAGACTATTTGATATGATTTGTATTCTGCTTCAGTTTTCTGTTTCTAATCTGACAACAGACACTCTGTCCTGTCTTCTAAATGTGAAACAGTGTCAAACAGACGACAACAACCATGTTGTAGAGTAAGTAAGAGTATGGGTGGTTGCGGTCCACACTAAACTTCCTTAACGTTAAGACAGAAACCCCCCGGAGAGACACAGGGGAAAACACAACATGAAACGCTGAAGAACACTAAGGACGGATGTGCATCTTTTCTTCCAATTTCATTATGGCAGTTTCACTTTAGATGGTCGACTTATTAATATATTAATTCATACAATGTCATAAATGGCAATGTGTGTACTAAAATGTGAGTAACACTTTATATGTCCAGGTCTATATAATGCATTAAAAACACACTTCTCAAATATCCTACTCAAAACTGTAGTTATTGCTTTAAGCAATCATAATAACTTTACATAATACTTTATAATCGCAGGTCACTTACTTTCTTTTTGTGGAAGGATCATAGTGTATTGAAAATATCATAGTTGTAATCCATTAGAATGTTTTTATATTACATTATAATGTGATTTAAAGTGGACCTATCATGCTATATTTGAATAATATAGTGTAGGACCATACCTATATAAGGCATATTTATACTTTTTTTTTTCAAAATACCAAACAGATCATGCATTTTAGCCATGCCTCATTTCGCTCAATTTGACATTTTTTAGATCTGTTTTAGCAAGGGCTGATTCTGTGAGAACAGCACCATCTACAGGCCTGGCATATGTACTACAGCGTCTCCAGCGCTTTCGAACGGCAATGGCCATGGCTGTCTCCTCCTGATTGGTGGAGTTGGCCCAATAGCCGTAGCGCCACCGTCCTGACGTCAGGACAGTGTTCAAATCTGGATCAGTTTTGATCAGATCCGTTGCAGCCCCTTTTTTAGAGATTTGGGTATGGAGGAAAATAGAGAGGGTTGTGTTTTCTGACACTTGGTGAGTTCCCTGGAACACCGGGGACACATATTCATGTAGACCATGTAGATCCACTTGATAACCGGCGTCGTAGTACAGCTTAGCGCCAGCGCGTATGTTTTGGCTTAGGCCAACCGGCTAACTCCAACATATCCAGGTTAAGTTGAACCAGCTTCGTAGTACAGGCCTCAGGACAGCCAGACAATAGATGTTGTGTGTACATTAAAAAGATAACACATTTACAACGTAGCTAGTCCAGATGCTGGAGAATGCATGTGTCTGTAAATAAGAAGAAGATGGATCCAGGTGGATGTCAACAATCCTGTGGGAGCCATCAGAGAAGTAGTATGGTGAGCATCATACATTTATACCACAGACATGTCGACAGGAGCTATTTAAGGTGCAGTATCTTGTCCAAGAACACTTCCCCATGTGAACTGGAGGGGGTGGAATTGGACCACTGATCGACTGGTAAACCCCATCTTTTAGCCATAACTCCATGAAATGATGAAGGTTTGGATATCAGTATGTCCAAGTTCAGGCTGTGTTTAGCTATCAGTGAATCATTAATGGACAAACATTGATATAAAACTGTATGCCCACTGAAACCCCCTTTGGACCTGCATGATGGTCAAATAAACGCTTTCATAACCGTCCAAAAGTTTAAACTTGGCTAAAAATGTAGATAAAGTAAAACCCAGAAGCTTCAATAAAGGCTGAGGCCCGATGAGGCTCAGTCGTCTTTCCCTCAGCTAGGTAACGTCATTAGCATCGTTAGCATTGTTAGCATCATTAGCATCATGTGTCTCCGAGGTCTCCTGCTGGTATCCGGGCTGTTTCTGAGCAGCTGGGCTCTGACTCCTGAAGAATGCAAGCCCTTGGTGACGCCACTCTCTCTGGCTGACCCCTCCATGGTAAGACCGCCCTCTGGTTCTTTTATTCACTGTTAGCTTCAATGCTAATAAGGACAACGCTACAGGTACAAAAAACTAAGGTAAAATATTTCTTGTGTTAATCTAAAATACTGTCAACAGATGTTTTGAGTAATAAAGTATGAAGAAGAGTCTGGAACAAAGACAGGGTTTTAAACTGCATAAAATAGTTAATAAATTGGAGAGATATAAAGTAAACGATACTCTGATGAAGATGACTGGGTTCAGTTTAAAGCCTTACCTCGTACTCTAAAGATGTGATGTTTGATGTTTCTTCAGATGTACGGACAGTCATATATCCTCGCCGGTTACAATGATAACGATGTGTTTAAAGCCATCCTGAAGACCCTGGAGAGCGCCTGGATGAATGTCACTGACTCACCTTCCGGGGTCTTCATGTCTCAGTTTAACAAACTGTGAGTGGATAACACTGTGCAGCTGCAGAAAAACAACTTTATAAAAAAATGCACATATCCTAACCGTGACAGCCAATCCACCACTATGCAGATAATACCAGGGGTGTTGCTTCATTGTTAAACCTATTTTTATGCAGTTTGAGGCGTAAAAAGTAAGCCTGAAGACAGCCTATGTATTTAAAAAAGTGATTATTATATAATCTTTTTCATTTAATTAATATAGTTCATTAAACTATCAGCTCCTTTGCAAAAAGCACAACAAATATTTGTGACCTCATTTTATACCTCATAATATAATTATTGTTAACATAACTCTTCCTCCTAATTTTTGTCCCAGTCTTCCTGTCTTCTCTCGAGAGAAACTGTCAACGTCACTTTTGACGGGAACACAGCATCAGTGTCATGTAAGGAACATCAGGCGAAACCATAGACTGTATATATAAAGAGAAACGTGCTGCAGCTTCAGAAAGGATGCAGCTATAAAAACCCAAATGTTCCACATGAAGAAACATCTTCAGCAACTTGAAAACACATGCAGCATTTAGAAAACATTCAGCAACTTGAGGAAACATGCGCAGCGTTTACTAAAAGCTGCAGAAACCAAACGCTGCAAATACAAAACGCTAATGAAAAGGAAATTACACCCCAGTAAAAAAGATTACTACTCTGAAGTATTTGCTCAACTATAAAAGACTCAACCAGTTCTGGATCGGCCCTAAAAATACTCACTACTTGATTTTAACTGTCTCTGTTGTTGGAAACTTACCTAAACAATGTTATGGTCTTATTTTAACAATGTGAAATGTGTTACTGAAGATCTGCTGTAAGCTAGCTAGCTAACGTAGCTAACCTTGTCATTTCAGATATACTGACAAACACTTACAGTTATGAGACAAACTAACTCTGAGACTCTGACAATGCATTGTCTTTTTATGCTGCTGAAACGCAAACATTTCCCAAATTGGGATCAATAAAGTACTTCTTATCTTATGTTATCTTATCTTATAAAATTGTTTCTGTCCTCAGTCATCAACATGAGCACGACGATGCTCATCCTGCCGGGCGGCAACGGTCTGACGGTCACCAGCGTCAACAGCACCGTCAAACACTTTGACCTGGCGCTTGAAAAGCTTAATATCCCCAGTGAGAACAGAGAGGAGATCAGCCTCCGAGCTCTCTACCTGATGGGTAGGTAGCTTAGTCTGTGCTTACTTTAACTGCTTTACATCCCTTTGTATTGGAAAGGATTTAACTGAGGTTTCATTATCTCCAGATTCTGTCAACATAAAACACAACGGAGGAAGAAGTATTTATATTCTTTACCTGAGTTTTAACACCAAGACTCTACAAGTAAAAGTGGAAAACCTTAAAAAGTAAAGCATTGAAGTTGCCGTTGAGTCTGTGCTCATTTTAGCTCCTCTACTTCTGGATTGTGTAAATGATGTATCTGAGGTTCTGGGTTCATTATCTCCTGGTTCTGTCTGCAGGCAGAGAGGCGACCCTGAAGGACTCGGACCTGGAAGAGTTCACGAAGCAGGCGAGCTGCCTCGGGTTCTCCGGAGAACCACAGTTCATCTACAACCCCAAGAACGGTGCTTTAAAATCACCTGATTAAACTATCTAAGGAATATATATTTAGATAATATATAACTGATTTATGTTTCTCTATCTGCAGGTTTCCTGCAACGTTTTGATCCTTAAACCCTTTAGATAATGCTGAAAACATGTGAAGTCGATCGGACAAGGTCTCTTTTCTACTTAGCAACAGTCTGTTCTACTTAGCAACAGTCTGTTCTCCTTAGCAACAGTCTGTTCTCCTTAGCAACGGTCTGTTCTCCTTAGCAACAGTCTGTTCTCCTTAGCAACTGTCTGTTCTCCAACTCTCTGTTCTCCTTAGCAACAGTGTATTTTCCTTAGCAACAGTCTGTTAGCGAGAATTAACAACCTCTGGAATGTCCAAACTGACCAATCAGAATAAAGTATTCAACCAAGCCGTTTAATAAGTCTTATTATTAAATCGTGGGACTCTGTGTTAATATGTTATTATGGTAGTGCTTATGAGTACACTGTAAAAACAGTTCCGATGGTGAAGTCAACAAAACTCAATTTTTTAATGTAATTTACTTTTTTTTCAATGTGCGTTTAAATAAGTAACACGTAAGCAACAATGAGAACATGTTTTAAGAACTCATTAAGTTGTAAATGAATATCACATTTTCTGAACTTTCTTTAAAAATAAGTTTTGGAAAACGTAATAAAAATTCTTTTGTCAACGCCACGGTCATGCCACGCCCTCAAACGAAAATACCGCGGTGTGAGACTTCCTGTTCCTCTTTGCAGCGGTTCTTCTAGTGATGGCAAAATGAAGCTTTGAATGAAGCATCGAACCACTTGGACAATTGTGTCGGAAATAGGTTCATTTCTCGAAGCTTCAGTTACAGCGACCTCTCCTGGCGAAGTGCAAGGCTGCAGTGGGTTTAACGTATCTTTGCCTTGAAAAATATTCGATGCACACACACACTAAGACTGAATATCATGTTCTATTTGCAATTAAAGATTGATAATTGTGTGTATTGGGTTATTGAGAAGAGACTAGAGAGTGCTGGAATTTTTTTTGGGCGGAGAGGGCCTTTTATCAGTTAATAAAGTATTAAAGTTGAAAAGGAATGATTAAACGTTCATCCGTTCCGGGCTTCGAACCAGCTGCGCGGAGGTCATCGCCACTTTGGGCCGCCGGCTCTAACCACTGGGCTATCTATACGTCAAGCTATACACATGTTTTTTATATTGGTGTTAATTGTCTTTTTGTTCACAACTTCTCCACATTTCGAAGTGTTTCCCGAGCCAGAACGACCTATCTTTCTTCCTGGCTTGCTCTATAATGATCCAATTAAAATGCAATACCAACAACAACTCAACAGCAACAACGCAAACTACCCACACATTGCGCATTGTTTAGAGCTGTTATAAGTGTTGAAGCGCTCAAATTCGAAACTGTTTCAACCTGTCACCTGTCAGAATAGAGACGAGGCAGTGCATTGAATCACGTGATTGGACCGCAAACCAGTCAAGTGATTCATTCAGGAAATGAAGCAGTTGCTGCTTGGACGTCATATGTCACGTGATTTGAAGCAGTTGCTGGTTCGGACGTCATATGTCACGTGATTTTAAGCAGTTGCTGGTTCGGACGTCATATGTCACGTGATTTGAAGCAGTTGCTGGTTCGGACGTCATATGTCACGTGATTTGAAGCAGTTGCTGCTTCGGACGTCATATGTCACGTGATTTGAAGCAGTTGCTGGTTCGGACGTCACATGTCACGTGATTTGAAGCAGTTGCTGGTTCGGACGTC